AATGAGGGCTTATTACTTCCTTTCTAGTCATTTATAGATATTTTTGTATTACTATATAGACTATGATTTCCAGAAAACATTTAATGAAATATGTAGTAAGGTGTGATAACAGACATCCCTGTTGTATTGTAAATATCAGGTTAAAGATGTTCCTTCCGGTCTCATGTTGTTAAGAATTTTAGCAGAAATTCTGATGCCTTTATTAAGACAATCATATGATCCTTTTCTTTAATATGGTAGATTGCATTATTCCTAAGATAAACTCTACTTAATAGAATACATTATAATTTTTAGCTATTATGTGATTTATTTTACTAACATTTTGCTTATAATTTGCACATCTATTTTGAAAAGTAAAGTTGGTAGGTAATATTCCTTTCAGGAATCATTTCTGTCTGATTTTGGTTTGTAATTACAGAAACCTCAAAAAATGAAATAGGAAGCATTCCCTCTTGATCTGTTCTTTGGGAGAGATGGAATAGGATTAGAATTTTTGAAAGACAAATTATCCTTAAACTAAAAATTGTCAGTACTTGTTCTTATTGTGAGAGAACTATGAACTACTGATTCAATGACTTTAATATAAAGTTTTTAAAAATTTCTTCTTCGAATCATAGCTCTTTAATTGCACTCTGTGCTATCTTCTATTAATTTTCGAATTTCTGGATTTCTGGTTTAATCACAGTTCTCTTTCTTGAGTTTTGGTGCCCTTGGGGATTTCTCTTACTATTCTGTCAGCTCAGAAAGTAGTCTTTTAAAGTGAGTATATCATAATGTATGCAGCATCTATGTATTTTTCAGAATATATATGTCAAAAGGCTGCTCAAAACAGCAATGTACTAACTTGAGAGACTATCTCCCATGTAACACATGATTTCTTTGTATGTATTGATTGCTATTTCCACAACATCCAAGGGAAAAAACCCTGGAAAAGCAGTTAATAATTATGACCTAAGTTGCTGCTTCCATAAACTTATAATGCAGATGCAGATGTTTGTTTAAAATTAATTGATGTGATATCATTTGGCATATTATCTTACCTTTTAGTGATTAATTATTCAAATATCCTACAATATGGTTTTTGAATGGATTCAAATGAATATGAAAACACCTTTTTAGTAATCTGAAAAATACCAGTATATCAATATAAAAATGCATCCTAAAAGACTATAGCAAAGGTTTTGAATGGAAATGATTAAAGAAATACTGGTCTTTAAAAATGATAGAGAAAATACCATTTCTTAATAAATAATGCCTTATATTCCAAACAGTTAATCATAAATTAATAAACATCTATTCCATTTGAGTCTTCCTAAGATTATTTTTTAATTCTGCTACATTTTAAAAGTCTTTTAAATTTATCCAATTATTTGTTTATACTTATCTTGTTTTTTAAAAATGATTTAAAGGACTATATGAGTTCATTGTTTTGAAATTATGTAATCTTTAAATCTAAATTGTTTTAAATTAATCAATAGTCATTAAAACAAAGTCTCATTGATACAAATGGTTCAGTCAAAGAATTCTATCTATTAATCAATTCAAATCACTTGGAATGTGAAAATGGATAGATTTTATTGAAACTTTCAACAGTTTTTCTGATATTTTTCCTCCATGATAAATGTTTTGGGATTTATGGTGAACAGTTCTGCTATAATTAGACAGTTTGCTATATTAAATGAGAAATGTTATTAAAGAGCTAATTACAATATAATCTTAATTTGCTAATTTCAGAGAAAGCTGCAGAAATAGGAGTGTGTTACCTAACATCATAAGGTATTTATTTCACAGAAAGTTTTATTCTGCTTTAATTTTAAAAATAAAGGTTTCCATGGGCCAGTAGTTTTGGCAGGCAGCATAATGAACTGTCATGCCTGAGAATTGAATTTGGAAGTAACTTTGGCATTAACGTTCCATTGGCCAATGGAGACTAGAAATGGGAGGATTTGGGCTTTGGTAGACAAAATTCTGTTTATATCAATGTTTAACACCTGCCACTGGATGAGCCACAGAGCAGCACTGATGTCAGAATTGGAGGAAGTGATGCATGTAGTATTCCTAGTACCAGGTTGA